AAATGGGGAGAAACCGCCCCAAAATGGGGATAAATTGACCTAAAATGAGGATAAACTGATCCGAAATGGAGAGAAACCGCCCCAAAATGGGGATAAATTGACCTAAAATGGGGATGAATCGCCCCCAAATGGGGATAAATTGACCTAAAATGGGGATGAACCGCCCCAAAATGGGGACAAATTGACCCAAAATGGGGATAAACCGCCCCAAAATACCCCAAAATATCCTGAAATTGGGATAAGCCACCCCCAAATTGGGATAAATTGAGCTAAAATGGGGATAAACCGCCCCAAAATGAGGTTAAATCTCCTCCCAGTCCCTCCCAGTCCCTCCCACTCCCCTCCCAGTCCCTCCCAGTCCCTCCCAATCCCCTCCCAGTCCCTCCCAGTCCCTCCCAATCCCCTCCCAATCCCCTCCCACTCCCTCCCAGTCCCTCCCAGTGCCCCCTAACCCCCCGTTTTCACCCCCCCAGGCTCCCCAGAGCACGACCCTAAGGGCCGGGTGATCACGGTGATCACGGCCGAGTTCCCAATCCCCTCCCAGTCCCTCCCAGTCCCTCCCCAGCCCCTCCCAGTGCCCCCCAAACCCCTCCCAGTCCCTCCCAGTCCCTCCCAGTCCCCACCCAGTCCCTTTGTCTTCTCTCTAAACCCCTTCCAGTCCCTCCCAGTGACCCCCAATCTCTCCCAATCCTCTCCCAGTCCCTCCCAGTGACCCCCAGTGACCCCGAATCCCCTCCCAGTCCCTCCCAGTGCCCCCTAATCCCCATTTTTACCCCCCCCAGGCTCCCCAGAGCACGACCCCGAGGGCCGGGTGATCACGGCCGAGTTCCCCTCCCTGTTCGTGGTCAGCGCCTACGTTCCCAACGCCGGGCGGGGCCTGGTTCGCCTGGAGCCTCGGACGCGCTGGGACTCGGCCTTCCTGAGCTTCCTGCGGGCGCTGGACGCCCGCAAACCCGTCCTGCTCTGCGGGGACCTCAACGTGGCCCACGCCGAGATCGACCTGTGCCACCCCGGCTCCAACAAGAAGAGCGCCGGGTTCACCCCCCAGGAGCGCGAGGGGTTCACCCGCCTGCTGGGTGCGGGGTTTGTCGACTCATTCCGGAGGTTGTATCCCGAGGCCAAAGGGGCCTACACCTTCTGGACATACCTGGGAGGGGCCCGGGCCCGCAACGTGGGCTGGAGGCTCGACTACTTCGTCATGTCCAAGAGGCTGGCGGAGGAGGGGCTGTGCGACAGCAAGATACGGAGCGCGGTGCAGGGCAGCGACCACTGCCCCATCACTGCTTACCTGGCCATATAGGGCCCTATAGGGGAGTGACCACTGCCCCATCACTGCTTACCTGGCCATATAGGACCGGGTAAGGCAGTGTAGGGCCGTGTAGGGGAATGACCACTGCCCCATTACTGTTTATCTGGCTATATAGGGTCATATAGGGCCGTGTAGGGCCGTGTAGGGGAGTGACCACTGCCCTATTACTGCCTACACGGCCATATAGAGTCATATAGGGCCATGTAGGGGAGTGGTCATTGCCCCATTACTGTTTATCTGGCCATATAGGGCCGTGTAAGGGAGTGACCACTGCCCCATTACTGCTTACTTGGCCATATAGGGCCCTATAGAGGAGTGATCACTGCCCCATTACTGCTTATTTGGCCATGTAGGGGAGTGGTCACTGCCCCATTACTGTTTATCTGGCTATATAGGGTCATATAGGGCTGTGTAGGGAAGTGGTCACTGCCCCATCACTGTTTACCTGGCCATATAGGGCCATGTAGGGGAGTGGTCACTGCCCCATTATTGTTTCCCTGGCCATATAGGGCCGGGAGAGGGGCAGGGTGGGGTCCAAGGGGGGAAAGGGGGCTTGGATGGCAACGGATCAGCTCCGAAACGGTCCTAAAGTGGCTTGAACGGCACCAGATTGGCTCGAAATTGGATCCAAATTGGGTTAAAAGGCCCTAAAGCGGCTCAAAACGGCACCAAATTGGCTTAAAACCAGATGGGATCCAAATGGTCCCAAACTGGCTCGAAATGGCACCAGATTGGCTCGAAAAGGCACCAGATTGGCTTGAAATGGCCCCAAATTGGCTTGAATGGCACCAGATTGGCTTAAAATGGCCCTAAATTGGATCTAAGTGGCCCCAAATTGGATCTAAAAAGCAACAGATTGGCTCAAAATTGGATCCAAATTGGGTTAAACGCACCAAATTGGATCCAAACGGCCCCAAATTGGTTTAAACGGCACCAGATTGGCTCCAAATGGCCCTAAATTGGTTCAAAATGGCACCAAATTGACTTAAAACCAGATGGGATCCAAATGGCCCTAAACTGGCTCGAAACAGCCCCAAATTGGCTTAAACAGCACCAGGTTGGCTCCAAACGGCCCTAAATTGGATCCAAATGGCCCCAAATTGGCTCCAAACAGCCCTAAATTGGTTCAAAATGGCACGAAATTGGCTTAAACCAGATGGGATCCAAATGGCCCCAAATTGGCTCCAAACGGCCCCAAATTGGCCCAAAACAGCCCTAAACTGGGTTTGATGACGTCACCGGCCCCTTTAGCTTCCGATCTGCCCCAAAACGGCCCCAAACTGGGGCCAAACCCCGCCCCCACAGGCCCCTCCCCCTCTCCACCCACCCCTCCCCCGCCCCGCTATATTTTAATAAAGCTCAATTTTTGGGGGCGAATCCGGCGATTTCGGGGTTTATTTATTTATTTACAGGTGAGAGGCCCCGCCCCTCCCCCGCCAGGGGGGGTTAATTAACGGGGCCGTTAATTAAATAATAATAATAATAATAATATTATACAGAAGAGGGGCGTGGTGGGAGGGGCGGGGCTTATGTACAAAGGGGGCGTGGCTTCGGGCATGCAGGGGGAGGGGCCATGCTGGGGGGAGGAAAAAAGGGGGCGTGGCACAATTTTGGGAAGGGGGCGGGGCCAACCAAGGGTGGGCGTGTCCCCAAAGGGGGAAGAGGCGTGTCCGACAAAAAGTGGGCGTGTCCCACCGTCACCAGGTGCATCCCAGGTGTGTTGTGGGCGTGTCCGCGGGAGTGGGCGTGGTCAGGCGCGGGGTGGGAGGGGCTGGCTGACCCTGACGCAGCCCCAATAGGCCGCCCGGAGCAGACACGCCCCCGCCCCCGCCCCCAGCGCCGCCCAGGCCGCCGGGACCCACCGCGCCCGGCGCCACAGCCACCACGTGCCAGCCTGGGGGGCAAAAAAGGGTTAAAACCAGCCCAAAATACTAGGTAAAACCGCCCTAAAACCAAGTTAAACTTGTCTTAAATTCCGGTTAATACCGGCCTAAATCCCAGGTAAACCTGGCCTAAATCCCAGTTAAATTTGGCCTAAATCCCAGTTAAACCCGAGCTAAGTCCCAGTTAAACTTGGCTTAAATACCAGTTAAACCCCCCCTAAATCCCAGTTCAACTTGTCTTAAATTCCGGTTAAACTTGGCTTAAATCCCAGTTAAACTTGGCCTAAATCCCAGTTAAACTTGTCTTAAATCATAGTTAAACGTGGCCTAAATCCCAGTTAAACCCCCCCTAAATCCCAGTGAAACGTGGCCTAAATCCCAGTTAAACCCTTCAAGCCACGCCCACCCACCCCATGCCCCTCCCCTTTAGGCCCCGCCCCTCACCGCGAGCCCCGCGGCGGCCCCGCCCATCAGCAGCGCCCCCAGGAGGCAGCACAGGCACCGTCGCCGTGGAAACCGCCGGCCAATCGCGGACCTGCATCCGGCAAAGGGGGCGTGGTCACGGCCCCGAGGGGCCCACAACAGGAAGTGGGGGGGGGCGGGGTCACACACAGAGACCACGCCCCCCCGAGAGGGGTGGGCGGGGCCAACTTACACCTTGCGGCAATGGGGGCACCGGGCCAGGGAGCGGTCGGGGAGCTCCGCCCACTGTGGAGAGGGGCGGGGCTTAGAGGGGTGTAGTCAGAGGAGGCAGGGTTTGGAGGGGTGTGGTCGTTGGGGTGGGGTTTAGAGGGGTGTGACCAGGAGGGGGTGGGGTTTAGAGGGGTGTGTTCATTGGGGGCGGGGTTAAAAGAGGAAATAATCAAGGGGGTGGGGTTTACAGGGGTGTGGCCCGTAGGGGGTGGGGTTTAGAGGGGTGTGACCGGGAGGGGGTGGGGTTTAGAGGGGTGTGGTTATTGGGGGTGGGGTTAAAAGAGGAAATAATCAAGGAGGCGGGGTTTAGAGGGGCGTGACCAGGAGGGAGTGGTGCTTAGAGGGGTGTGGTCATTGGAGGCGGGGTTAAAAGAGAAAATAATCAAGGGGGTGGGGTTTAGAGGGGTGTGACTGGGAGGGAGTGGGTTTTAGAGGGGTGTGGTTATTGGGGGCGGGGTTAAAAGAGGAAATAATCAAGGGGGTGGGGTTTAGAGGGGCGTGACCATTAGGGGTGGGGTTTAGAGGGGTGTGGTCAGAGGAGGCGGGGTTTAGAGGGGTGTGACCGGGTGGGGCGGGGCTTGAGTGGGCATGTCTCACCAGGAAGGGCCCCCCGCAGTGGGCACAGGCCACACGAACCCCCCCCGGGGGGGGGTCCGGGCTGGGGGCCCCCGAGTGCACCGGGCCCAGGTTGATGATGCGTTTACTGGGGAGGGGGAACTGGGTTAGACTGGGGGAGACTGGGAGGGGGACCGGTGATCCCAGTGCAGAGACATGGCCCCGCCCAGTGCTCCCAGTATGGCCCAGGGACCCCCAACATGCTCCCAGTACGGCCCAATGACCCCTCCCAGCGCTCCCAGTATGGCCCAGACACCCTTCCTAGTGATCCCAGTATGGCC